AACTTTATGTTGAAAAACGCACGGTTGATTGCTTTAATAATATACATGTACATGTAGGTACCTCAGATGGACCACTCACAGAATTGTTCATTTTGTGATGATATCTTCAATTCTGTAATTGAAATGTACAATATTAACAGCTCTGACCATACATGCTACTTGCCAAATATGAAGTTAATCGGTCAAAGCATTCATGAGAAACAAATTTTTAGGCATTTTCTCAGATAAGAATTTGGCAGCGAAATCATGTGAATGTGGATCAGACCCCAAAGTGTGGGATGAGACCAAAACACTCCCAACCCTTGTACCACGAATTTCCATTTGGCAAACCAGGTAAAGGGGGATGGCCGCGTTCCATGGGCGTTCTCGACAGCTCAATCTGATACGATCCATCACGCCCTGAGGGCAGAGTTGCTTGAGCACATTGTAGTGCGCGCCCAGGACTCTTGAGACCTCGGAGGCAGAGAGCACCAGTCTCCTAGACCAGGCGACACATTTACTGGTGGGCCACCGCACATCTACATGCGACATCCCCTAGTGTCACCTGGCTCTCTTGGCCGGGGCCACTACTGTGCAACAAGACACAGTCTTAGACACGTTTGTTTTTGCCGGCAAACTGAGTCAGGGGGTACGTCCCCACCTCAGTGAGGCAGACTGAACATCTTCCACCCTCTTTGTTCGGGGAATGGCGGGTGCAGTCTCGGAGCTTCAGAGTGCAATGAACCAGAGGGTTCAGATCAAATCCGCTAGCCAGTTGGCCCTGCCAAGGGCAAGCGGAGGGCACCCCAAGCACAGAAAACCAACGCCCTAGGGCGTCGTCCACTAGCACAAGCACTCATACCCTTCCACACGAGGTAATAGTAGCGACGCGCCCCCAGGTAGGAAGGGTCCAGATGGTGGCTCCTCACCCTCCTCGGGCAGTCGTCCACCCCAGTGGTGTGGGAAGCATGTTCGACGCTAACCTCTGTGACTAGGGGGGGACAGGCATGTGTTCGGCGAGTGGCCAGATCACAACTTAGGGACTACCGCAGACCTTGGGGAAACTCACCTTATGAGAGAATAGAGCACCCACCCCTCGTAACTGCCGAACCCATGGCCACATATCCCTGTCATACACAGATTGCGTCGGTGTAGTCCGGTTTGGAGGCAGTGGACCTAGACCTTTCCAGGTGGTGACATTCTGTTACGGGATACCGCTAAAATCTCCATCTCCCCTGTCAGTGTCTCCCCTATTGGGCACTGCCAGGGGACTCTCGCAAGGCAGAAGCAATCAGACAGGAAGTAGCAGTTTGCTGGAAAAAGGCACCATACACAGGGTAGATCAGCCGGCATTAAGTCCAGGCTTCGACCCAAATGTGTTCGTAGTACCAAATCTACAGGTGATGGGCGTCCAGTTCTGGACCTAGGCAGACTGAATCAGTACGTGCTTCTCGATCGGTTCTGCATGGAGACACCATTCAGGGATCTTCTCTCCATCCATCGTTTCGACTGGCTAGCCCCACTAGACTTAAGTGGGGCCTACCGATGCACCCGGCGAGTTGCCATCTCCTTCGAATCGCCCAGCTGGGCCAAGTAATTAAATTTTGGGTGCTCTCCTTTGGGTCATGCACAGCGTCCTACGTGTTCACCAGAGTGATGAAACAGGTAGTGCTGCTGCTTCACCAAATGTCGGTACACCTCAATCGGTTACTACACAACCCACCAAAGGGTTATTATCCAAACATGTCAGGCTAACACAGGATTTACTTCACCAGTTAGGCTCTTTAGTAAAGTCCCATCCCAACCCAATGCAACAGTCAGTCTTCTTGGGCATGGAGTTTGACACAGAGGTAGACTTGGTATAGCTATTTCAAGCATGCTGCTTAGCGCTAAGCAGCCTAGCCGAGCGCCTAGTCAGCGTTCCCTCAGTGTCCCTCCGAGAACTAATGCGGATCATCGGAATG